GCACAACGCCACTGGCAGTTAAATTTTTTTCTTTAGGAATGTCAGGACCGCAGGTCGGTGACCCCGAGGGCTACGGCTGACGTACAAAAACTGTAAAATATTATCATCAAACCTGCACAAGCACAAACTGTATTTTCAAACCACTGAACAAATATATTCATGTATGAAATATGAATCATGTTGGGACCCTAGTGACCTTTCGTACTGCAGTTTGGTGGGTATCTTTACAACATAAATTAAGGTAAAGTTATTTTGATAAAAACAAGGTTAAAGCTGAATATGATCGCTTCTACTTTAATTTTAGCAGCTGTTAAATGATTAGGTAGACTTTAGGCTGGGGTCGATTTTCCTACTTTGGTTTGAGAGATTTCTATCCTGTCGGCCGTAAAAGGAAAATGTGCTGATTCTGCCTCTGCTCACTGTATAAGTGTTGAGAAGCATCCATACTTTCCACATATCCTCTCCTGTTTCAGCCATGATGATTTTAGCAGAGCGAGTAAAGCCCGTCTGCCTCTATATTACCCTGCAAAAATGATGCTGTGCGTCTTTCCCTTTAATGAAGTAGACCTACACTGAGCCACACGGTCGTCACAACAGAACTATTTGTCAGTGGTTTGAAGGCCGGTATGAAAAGATTGACGTCGAGTTAAGAGAAGAATAATGACTCTCGCTCCAGTCCCAGCTGACGTGAACTCTCAATGTGTTTCACAGAACAAGTTATGTTCTATTAACCGACTTCCTCTTCACATTTCAAATGTAGCGTTAACAAACTGACAGCAAACAACCACAGGCTCTACAAAAAACAAATACAACTATGAAAATCAAAAAAACAACTTGGAAAATCCCACGTTCATAAAAGTTACCAAAATACATACTAAATATACCTATTTAAAAGAGAACAAGTCACACATTTGTCAATCTAAAAAAGTACTACGAGAATAGGCTGATATACTGCAGCTAAAATAACAGGAAATGAGTTGACGTTAGCCAAAGCTAAGCTAATAGCCAAATATAACTATAACTGTGAATAAAGCAGTAACTCAAATAAAATAAAAATATTTTTATATAACTGGAATAACAACCTAGTATAAGGATTTATTTCAATAAAGATTGACATTGAAATAAAGATTTCAAAGAATTAAATGTTCAGGTTAAAGACTATTGTCAAACAATTGTCCCAGATTATTAATGGACAGGGCCTTTAAATGCTAAACAGCTACTACCACAGCTTCATGCTAACCAATGCAGAAACCCATATTAACGGTACTTTGACTCAACAATGTATGCTCTTGAGCTCCATTGTTCATTGCATTCATTAAATATTCATCTTTAATCCAGTCAGAATAACTATATTCTGCATGTGTAGATGTAGAGATATGAAATTATTTCCTGTTAATGTTGGAGAAACTTTTTTTTTTTTACATTTTACAGTTAGACACACTCCAGTAATCGTGTCTAAAACAATCTATGCTCTGCGCAGAGATCAGCAGTTGTCGCATGACATGTCAGCTCCACCACATTCACCACAGCGTTTTTCCACCTCTGCTCGTTTCACACATGCAGTCTGTTAGAACGTTCAGCTGCAGCAGCCGGTGGTTTCAGAAGCTCTTCTGCCTTTTAGTCCAGCACAGTGTGACTCTGAGCACAGTTGTCCACGAGGAGAACACATGATTAACCAGATAAGGAGATGTGATGCTCTTCCCCCACTACATATTTAGTGGGAAACAAACACAGCGCCCCTCCTTTTCCATGCATCTCACCCTTGAACATGAAGTTCAACTTCATCTCATCTCACAGATGCTGCAGAGACAAACAGCTAGCGCGTGTCGTTGTTTTGTCGGTGAACTGCTCCAGCGTCGACCATATTGAGCTGACCAGGATTTTAGAACAAACTAATCTGTGATTTAAAGACCAGGTTGCTGAGTGTCCCTGACGTCAACCATGTCCTAGTAATTACTTGGCCATAGAGTCTGTCAGTGGTACCCAACCTTTTTTGGCTTGTGACCCCATTTTGACGTCACACATTTCTGCCAACCCCAGAGACATTTTTTTATTTTCTAGAATAAGTTTCTGATCAGTTATGTCATATTGCGTAGCCAGATTAGTGCACAGAGTGATATTTTAATTTTCCCTGATCACATGTACGGTTGCTTAACTAACAACCTGTCAACAATGAACTTGATTTATCATCACAAAAGTTAAAGAACAGAGTCGTTTAAGATTGTCCTTGTTGTTTTAAATTGTAATTTTGAAAGATAATTTTTTAACTCAATTGCTGGACATTTCAGGTGTCCCCATTTGAATTTCATCGACCCCATGTGGGTTCGTGACCCTAAGGTTGAAAAACACCAAACTAAGAAACTACTGACTAGACCAGCAGTCCCCAACCTTTTTTGTACCAAAGACTGGTCAGCCAGTACCAACCTTTACTGCGGACCGGCAGCGCTGATTTTTGAATTATTACATTTTCAAACCAAAACATTTTTTAAACGTCTGTTAGTATTACAGTCTTGATGGTATTTTAAAAAAATAGTAAATAGATATTTTTCATTGCGTGATATTGTGGCCCAGTACCAAATAATCTACGGACCAGTATTGGTCCACGGACTAGGGGTTGAGGATCCCTGGACTAGACCACAGTCTGAAACATTGTGACCTGTACAGAAACAGAGGTCAAGTGAAGATGAAAATTCAGCTACAGTGACTTCATCATCCCTCTTTAGAAAAGACCATCTTCATGTCCTCCACGAGAACACTAGCGTGCACGCATCCGTGCAGCAGAATCCCATGTATATACAGTAATAATCAAACACAAACACAAAGGTCAAGGTCTGGCGCTCGCTCCTCTGGGAATGCTGCCACGTTGACCACAACCAGAGGAAAGGCCGCGTCAAAATGACAGGAAATTCCTACTTGATTTGGACAGGTCATAGTTTTACATGTTATATTTGCAGAGAGAACCGTGTCCATGTGTGTGTGTCCGCCACTTCATATACATGACCAATCTTTGTACGTGGGAACCAGATTTTGACGATGGTTATATGTGGGTCACTTTGTACCTTTGTAGTCCAAATAACTTCACCTGGGTGTCAACGTAGGCACGCTAGCTAAGGAAACAGCAGGAGTAGGTCATTTAGACTCTGGGCAGGATTGTCTGGGAATCTGACGTCATCATTTTAAAACATTCACACAGAGAGGCGCAGAAACATAAAATGTGCTTAATGTTTTGCTGCCACCTAGTGTTTTGTATTATCTTGAACATGCGGTTTTCCTATTAAGCCACAGACAGAAATTGAATTTGGTTTAGACAGAAATAAATTTAGCATTTAGTTCTCTTATTTACATACAGAATAAATGGAAAAAAAAATTAAAATGTTGTTTAAGATAAAAAATACAACAAAGCTCAATTGAAAACATATATTAAAATTAAAAAAAAATTTTAAGATAAAAAATACAACAAAGCTCAAATGAAAACATATATTAAAATTTAAAAAAAATGATAAATATTACATTAGTGTCATTGAAAAAGCTGACGCTCAAAATGGGAATCACTGGTCTAGAAAAGATTTTAAAAATATTTTTAAAAATAATACTGATGTTAAGGACAAATAGCTTAACTATGTCAAAGAGAGTCCAAAAAAAATCCTTGAGGAAGAATTTTCCCACATTTCAACAAAATAAAGAAGAAACTCTCACAAGGTCAGGAGAGAAAATGTGAAGGTTCCAGGTGGCTGATAACAGGAAGATGTTTGTCACGGACTGGCCCTGGGAAAAGAGCTGTGAAGCAGAAAAAAAGATTCCACGCGTCTTTCTTAACAGGCTCTAACTGCTTCACACGGAAACAACATCAGTCACACTCGTCATCATGGACAAGAAGGTGGTGCTGATTACAGGTTGCTCCTCGGGGATCGGCCTCAGCCTGGCCGTCCGGCTGGCATCTGACCCACAGAAAAGCTTCAAAGGTAACACAGGCTCACGTTCATTTTCACAGTCCTGCAGTAAAATGTATAAAAAAATTTTAAGAGTTCCATTATACTTAAAACTTCCTCTTTCCTAAGTCTACGCCACCATGAGGAACCTGGACAAGAAGGAACGCCTGTTAGAGAGTGTCAAAGGTCTGCACAGGGACACCATGGACATTCTCCAAATGGACGTGACGGACCAGCGGTCCATTCATGACGCGAGGGACAGAGTTGTGGAGAAACGAGTGGATATTCTGGGTAGGCCCGTCTGACCCAGGTTCTGTGTTCTACCTTTAATTAACCAATTAATTAGCATTCCTCACAACAAGTCAAAAATCCTTTTTTTTCAGATCTGAATACTAATTTCTCTCTTTTATCAGTGTGTAATGCCGGCGTGGGGTTGATGGGACCACTGGAGCTGCAGTCCCTGAACTCAATGAGGCAGATTTTAGAGGTAAACCTCTTGGGAACCATCCAGACAATCCAGGCCTTCCTTCCAGAGATGAAAGCTCAGGGCCGCGGCCACATTCTGGTCACTGGCAGCACAGGAGGTCTGCACGGTGAGACGAAGTAACAATAACACTGCTTTGTAATTTTAGTTACTTTTTAAATTGAGAATACTAATGTTGTAGAGATAGCGGTGCATTAAATCAAATTTAATGGAGCTTTAGTTGTGAATGTGTAAAGATTGGGAGTGTCGCGCGGGTGCTTTGGATCAGGAAGTGGTTCATGTTGCATTTTACGTGTCGCGATATTCTGAGCATTTTCAGAGATAATATATTACACATGTTGCAGGGCTGTGATCGCAGTTAGTTCAATCTTACTATATGTCATCTGTCACATTTCATAACGACTTAATTCATGGAGGGCTTATTGGCCAGAGTTACATGTTGCTCCTCACTGAAATGCCACAGGTCTCCCTTTCAATGAGGTGTACTGTGCCAGCAAATTTGCGATAGAGGGAGCGTGTGAAAGTTTGGCCGTCCTCCTGCAACACTTCAATATCCAGTGAGTCTCTTTTTATTTCCTTTGTATGAAAAAGTAACATCTCTCAGAGGTCTCCAACTCCTGGGTCCCCAAGTGGTAGTTTTAGATGGTGGAGTTGCAGTTTCAAAATAAAAGTTGCATTTACAAAATATACTTAAATATATATTATGAGCTTGACTTTTAATTCAAATTTTCACTAATGCAGTGTGAGTCTCATTGAGTGCGGCCCGGTCAACACCAACTTCCTGGTCAACCTGGAGAAGGCTGAGCTCGGAGACGCCCCTCTGAGGCTGGTGGACCCTCTCACAGTCAACCTTTATGAAAAATACCTACAGCACTGCAGCTTCGTTTTTCAGAACGCAGCACAGGACACAGAAGACATAGTGAAGGTAAAGAGTATTCAAACTACTACGTAACTACATACTCAATTTCGGGAATCAATGAATATTACAACTCATAAATACTTGTTTTGGTGTTGTTGTTTTCACAGTAAAATAATGAAATGACTGTGATATTTTGATACGAGAATAAAATCAGTAAAATAGTGAAACCTTTAGTTGTTTCTAAAGGGACTCAGTAAATATCTCTGAAATATCCATTAGGTGGCAGTACAACAACTCATTATCTCCTTAGTGCTTTTAAAAACCCACTATTACTATGTGCTACTATTATCATGATTAGTTAACATAGTTCAGGGATCAACAACTAGTTTGTCGGAGGGCCAGAATTCTTCTGGACAGACATTTTGGAACCCAGTCACGGGCCGTAATGGAAGGTTTGGCGGGCCGGATTCAGCTCATGAGCCGCCAGTTGATGATCACTCTCACTAATCTATAGATAGTTTATTATAACTATTTAAATGGCGTCTCTTCTTGTTGTGTTGAAGCAAAATAACATTCTAATTGTTTGGGGTTGTATTTGTCTCCAAGGTGTTTCTAGAGGCCATCCAGTCACCCAGCCCGGCCTTCAGATATTTCACCAGCGGTGCCCTCTCACCTCTCACTCAGCTCAAAACCGCACAGCCAGATGGCACACAGTGCATCCGTGCAATGAGTGACATCATTTTCAGCTCTAAGGAAAAATAACATTCGCAGGTTGCGCACATGCCCGTTGTCTGTGCAGTTCTGACCAAGCCTTCATTCACCCTGCCATTTAGATCTTCATCTACTCCTTGACTTTATTTATCTTTAATTATTGAACATTTTGAATCCTTTAAATCACTGACAGTAAAGTGCACGCTAACCATGCGTGTTACATTATTACAATCCATTGTATTCAGGTTTAATTATTATATATATAAAGAGAGAGATTATATGTAGACTGTTTTTCAAAAACAAGAAAAAAAAGAAAGTTTTAAAATTCTGGTCATAAAAAGCATGATGATTTCAATCAAGTTTTTTTTTATTTTGAAAGCAACAAGGAAGTAGCTCAACAATATTAAATGTTTTTTTTAATGTGGAGGACATCTTGGTCATTGTGGTGTCTAGTGTCGGTGTGCATGTGCTCTGTTCCTGTTCAGGCCATTTGGTTCATATTCTAGAGTTTGTTGTTCTGCGTTTCTCAGCTCCTCTATCCATCGAGTTTTTGTTATTTGGGTTTCGAATAAACTCTCAGCGCCTGAGCCACACCTCTCCTGTGTTACAGCTGGGTCCTGTCTGCCTTCCAACGTTACAAAACAAAACAGGTTTTTTCCAAATAATGACTCGCGCTATTGATATCAAACACTTGGTTTCTAATGGTTAACTCTCAGGCACTGCCCCAAACACGAGCCCTGTTTTATCCATTGAGCGGCTCATTGTCCCATAGTTGGACTTGGTACAGCAGAGCAAAGGACAACTAGAGAGACTAACACACAACCACCAGGATGAAGGGTGCTGTTTTGCTGAGTTTGGTGCTGAGCTGCTGTCTCTGTGAAGTTACAGTTAATAGCAACGATGGAATTAAATGCGGCTCGGTCAGCGACGCTGACACTTTCTCCAGCACCTTTATGGCTTATAAGCTGGGAGTGCTGGAAGAGAAAATTGCCAACATAGAAAAGAGTTCAAACAAGGAGAAAATCAATACCATGGAAACAGAAATAAAACTCCTGGAGACCAAGATGCAAGGGTTGAAAAATGAGATTCTGGAGCTGCGGAGCCTACTTGCAGGTATTTAGGGTTTTAACACGAGCTTTTAGCTAGTTTGTTTTTATG